TACCGGAGGACCGAGGAGTCGAGGAGTCGAGGAGGGACATTTGATGACATGAGAAAGGGCCTTCATGTCTCTTCTACATCAACATGTGTCCCCTCTTCTTCATGTCTCTTCTTCATCAACATGTGTCCCCTCTTCTTCATGTCTCTTCTACATCAACATGTGTCCCCTCTTCTTCATGTCTCTTCTACATCAACATGTGTCCCCTCTTCTTCATGTCTCTTCTACATCAACATGTGTCCCCTCTTCTTCATGTCTCTTCTACATCAACATGTGTCCCCTCTTCTTCATGTCTCTTCTTCATCAACATGTGTCCCCTCTTCTTCATGTCTCTTCTTCATCAACATGTGTCCCCTCTTCTTCATGTCTCTTCTACATCAACATGTGTCCCCTCTTCTTCATGTCTCTTCTTCATCAACATGTGTCCCCTCTTCTTCATGTCTCTTCTTCATCAACATGTGTCCCCTCTTCTTCATGTCTCTTCTTCAATCAACATGTGTCCCCCTCTTCTTCATGTCTCTTCTACATCAACATGTGTCCCCTCTCTTTCATGTCTCTTCTACATCAACATGTGTCCCCTCTTCTTCATGTCTCTTCTTCATCAACATGTGTCCCCTCTTCTTCATGTCTCTTCTCATCAACATGTGTCCCCTCTTCTTCATGTCTCTTTCTACATCAAACATGTGTCCCCTCTTCTTCATGTCTCTTCTTCATCAACATGTGTCCCCTCTTCTTCATGTCTCTTCTTCATCAACATGTGTCCCCTCTTCTTCATGTCTCTTCTTCATCAACATGTGTCCCCCTCTTCTTCATGTCTCTTCTTCATCAACATGTGTCCCCTCTTCTTCATGTCTCTTCTACATTCAACATGTGTCCCCTCTTCTTCATGTCTCTTCTTCATCAACATGTGTCCCCTCTTCTTCATGTCTCTTCTTCATCAACATGTGTCCCCCTGTTCTTCATGTCTCTTCTTCATCAACATGTGTCCCCTCTTCTTCATGTCTCTTCTACATCAACATGTGTCCCCTCTTCTTCATGTCTCTTCTTCATCAACATGTGTCCCCTCTTCTTCATGTCTCTTCTTCATCAACATGTGTCCCCTCTTCTTCATGTCTCTTCTTCATCAACATGTGTCCCCTCTGTGGAAAGAGACTCTGAAAGTTTCAGGAACAAAGATTCTCTCTCTTTTTGATCCATTTCTATAAAAACCTGTCTGAAAATGAGCTGATCAGATTTTGGCCACTTGATGATGTCATAACGATGTATTGTCTTGTGTAACCATTAGCCAATCAGCAACCAAGGTAACCCCCCCCCCACCTTATCACCTGAATCTCCTCCTAGAGCACTATTGAGTTCTTTGTAACCAAATCTCTCTCAGAGGGGCGTGGGGAGGGGCTCCTTATTTTCATCTAAAGTAACAGACAGAGAATCAGCACTTTGGAAACAGGGCTGAAACAGAGGGGATTATGGGTAATGCTGCAATGATCTGTTTGGTGTTTCAGCCAATCAGAGACAGGCTCTGGATATATCTGAGAGCTGTAATATATTGATGTAAAACAGTATGATAGGGGACCTTTAATACTAAATAAAGGTGTATTCATTAACTCATCAAAATCATTATAAAAGTCAAAAGGAAGAAATAAAACACACGCAGGAATTTTTGGAAAAAAAGAAACTTTATTTGGAAACATTATGGAGGAGAAACAGAAAAGAAAAACTTGTTTTAGACTTTTTTCATTTCTGAAAATCATTTTTATTTACTATAATACACAGCTGTTTGTACACCGGTGCGACTGATGAGGTCGTATCAACAGGATGATAACACAGTCGATTGATTGATGAGAAAAACTACAGACGAACAGCTTAATCTTTTATTATCTAGCAGCTGCTGAGACCCCCCCCCCCCCACTCCCTCCCTCCCCAAAATAAAAAAAAAATAAAAAAGCGTAGATCAGGACGCTTTTGGCCACGTTCCATTTCCCCCATTCGCTCCCTTCCATGTGCCCTTCAGTCCAACGTCACCTTAAAATGGGCTTTTGGCTTCGTTCCATTCTGAATATTTATCCCCTTTAACGCTAACCCCTAACCCTCTCATTCACAACTCAAAGAGCGTCCCATTCCAGACACGAGTCTCCTTCAAAGTGTCCTTTTAAAAAGGTCCCTAAATCAGATTTGTTTCGATGTTCAGAGACAGGACTTTGGCCGCATTCCATTTCGCTTCCATACGACCTTGTCTCTTAAATTAAGATTCAAATAGATGATGCTTTTCTAACCTCTAGAGTTGTTGGAATTGTAAGAAAAAGGGGTTTAAATGTACAATTATTCATATTAAGTTCTTTAAATACCTTGTTTTGTCCGATTTACAATCCAAATATCTCCTTTAGAAGTATTACAACATGAGGAATAATCCAATATTAGTGATTTGGAACCACATTTGACTCCATAGTGTACTGTAGTGGTCAAAAATACACAACATTTTAAGCTGGTAAAACTACTTTGGGAAAATAAAACATGTTTTTTAAATAAAACTGGTTTAAAATGGAGTGGATTTTAAAAGTAAGTTAAGTAACATAAAAAAATGCCCTTTTTATGTTATTGTTGTGACTTTGTAAGTTAATAATTTATTGATTGATACTTAATTGGTTTGTTTTTTATCCTAAAAGTCAGAAATATTCCTAAAGGTTAATAAAAAAACGTTGAATCTCAAAATATTAATTCCCTCCTGACGTTTTCTGGGTTCACATTTCAGTCATCCAATAAAAAAGCTGACCGACTTCAAGGACACAGGAGACACACATCAGAAATGGGACGCACCCCGAGTCGACATTATCGTATAATTGGAATCCTCCCGGTCGCTGACGTTCATCGAAAACACTTTGAGTCGTTTTGCTGATTTTTAAACAAAAGCTTTCCTCCCTCACATACACTTAAGACACTAGCAGAGCAATGCATTCTGGGTATAACGAACCACTCATCGGATTAATTTTCTTTTGCAAGTTACTAAAAGAGTGTTCAATTATGAATGAAGGGCTTTTAATCTGGTGATCAGACGGTCACCGTAAATCACTGTGAGTGCAGATATTCTTATGATTCTATTAAACTGAGCGAGACATTAAGAAAGTGAGTCACACATACATTTTAACGGGTATTGGTTCAAGAAATTCAGCATTAAAAGGTGTTTTTAGTGAAATATTTCAGACGGTTTGGCAGCAGTCGTTAGTAGAAACCTTTAAGATGTAACCTCAAGGTGTCTGCACTCGTTTAAAACAGTGTTTAAAAGTGATTAAAAAGACTCTTCTGTGCATCTGGATTAAATATCATTCCTTCGATCGCCTGAGATTGAAAATAAATACACATTGAGGTTGTTTTGAAACCAAAAACAATGTTTAATTCACACCGTCTCCCTATAGAAGCGTACTTTAGTGTGTGAACGTGAGCATGTAGACGACTGACATCAAAAGGATGGAAGATTGGAGCTTTCCTGGTGTTTCTTTATCACTATTTAAATCCTCGTTAACGCTGAATTGTTTTCGTGTGGAGCCCCCCTGCTGTGTCCTGATTAAAAGACTCAATTAACTGAACATTAATTGATTAGAAGTGTGCCAATTGGAAACTCCACTTCCTCTATAATTAGCTCCAAATTACCAGAGAGGAGGAGGAAGAGTTCAGATCCTTTAATCAGGTAAAACCTACACCGTAAGAAAGACTAGATATGTGTTAATATGCAGGTAGGTACATTTAGTTGAAATGTCGCGATAGGTGGCATGAAATACTCAAGTGAAGTAACTCAAAAGTGTACTCGAGTACTTCTACTATTGCATATAATAAAGCCCTACACTGGGGGCCCTACACTGGGGGCCCCTCGAACCAGCTTTCATCCCCATCAGTGGCGCCCCAACACACTCCCTCCCCTCCCCTCCCCCCCCGGAGCGGAGCAAGGCAACGAAACTTAAATTAAGAAGCAGCATTTTACGGCGCGCTATGCATGGGGCCGCCTTGAGGGGGGTTCCCGACATGTCGTTGCAGTAAATTAAAGGGTGTTTCATGTTGTCGTTGCTGTGGACCTTCTTAAACTACCTTCTTTGGGGCCCCCTTCTGGTCCGGAGCCCCAAGCAGTTTCTTACTGCGCGCTATGCATGGGGCCGCCTTGAGGGGGTTTCCCGACATGTCGTTGCAGTAAATTAAAGGGTGTTTCATGTTGTCGTTGCTGTGGACCTTCTTAATCTACCTTCTTTGGGGGCCCCCTTCTGGTCCGGAGCCCCAAGCAGTTTCTTACTGCGCGCTATGCATGGGGCCGCCTTGAGGGGGTTTCCCGACATGTCGTTGCAGTAAATTAAAGGGTGTTTCATGTTGTCGTTGCTGTGGACCTTCTTAATCTACCTTCTTTGGGGGCCCCCCTTCTGGTCCGGGGGCCCCAAGCTGTTGCCTGTCTACTGTGACCGTGCTTTAATGATATTTCTACTCATACAAAATGACACTTTACTGGAAAGGGAAAAGCCAAAAAAAGGCCTTTTTTTTTTTAATTGAAATTAATCAGACATTGAAACTATGGATTTGTGTCACAGATTCATATTTTTAGGTAAAACGTTGTGAATTGTTTGCAGCAGGTGGGATGTGTTTATCCAGATGGACAGAAGAGTGTTTGAAGTGAACTAAGTCAGTGAATTAAAGTTAATCTCAACTCTAACGATTTCTCTCTCTCTCAGCCTCAAAGTGTCATCGATGAAGAAAGGGACGAGGGATTCCTTTCTCTTTCAGACGACACACACACACACACACACACACACACACACACACACACACACACACACACACACACACACACACACACACACACACACACACACACACACACACACACACACACACACAACACACACACACACACACACACACACACACACACACACACACACACACACACACACACACACACACACACACACACACACACACACACACACACACACACACCACACACACACCACACACACACACACACACACACACACACACACACACACACACACACACACACACACACACACACACACACACACAAATATGAGTATAGCTTCTGACAGATTATACAGCCCAGTACCCCGCGGTATTTCACTAAATCAGTCTGCTGCTGATATATTTATATATATATTTATACTTATATATAATTCTTTCCTCTATTTAGGGAAAACTATTCGACATATAACCAAAAATATGATATTAAAGAGTGGATTTCTTGCATGACGGAGAAGAAACAAATGCAATAAAAACTCCTCGTGAGAGTCTCTCTGTGGAAATGTTACCCTTAAACCAAAACCAAAAGATTCAGATAAAATAAATCTGAAGTTATTCTTTTTTTTTTTTATATATCTCACTAAGTGGCAAAAAAACAGAGACATGCACATTTTTAGTTTCCAACAAAGCAACAGAAGGTAGAAATGAAGACGATTAGAGCGTCAAACACGGGAAGACGCCTCGGAAAAGATCCAGAATGCATTGCGACGTAGTGGTTTCCTCGCTGAGAGTTAGACGCTCGAAGGAGACGAGAGCGTCAGCTGGAGGTTTGAGGTGAAGTCCGTTAAGTCTTTCGTACGGAGTGTAACGAGTTTCTTAAATTCCCTCCTGATCCCCACACACACACACACACACACACACACACACACACACACACACACACACACACACACACACACACACACACAGGGTAGACATCACAAAACATGTTTAAAAAAAAAAGCAAATGATACAAAAAATAACATAATCAGACATGAGTGGGACTTTGACAGAAATCGTGCATGTGCTGTTATGTCCGTTAAGAGGGTCAAAGTTCATGAAGAAGGGGGGAGGGATTATTCCGTTTTTTCTAGTATTTAAAACCCTCAAAATAATCCAACAACTCGTTATGTTTTCAGTTCACAAATCCAACTGGTTGTTGTGACGTTCTGTCCTCTGACGGGTGTTCGGTGTTGGAAGAAGGTTCCTGAGCCGAAGTGTCTGTAAGTTAGTCGGTCAAATATCGAATCAGTCGGCGTTCATTTTGGAGTTGCAGTCGTTAAGTTTGAACTTCCCTTTTCTGTTGTTTGGGGGGGGGGTTTAAGCGGGGTTTGGTCAGTGTGCTATTCCATCAGGGTGAAGGTAAAAGGGGGGGAATCTTTATTAGTAAATCCAGGTAAGACCCTGCTAAAGAGTTGTCTATGTGCCGAAGCCTTTATATTCAGTCTCGTAAAAGGGTGGAAAAAATTAGTTCCAAAAAAACGGTGACGTCCGATTGTCTCGAATCCGGGATTTAACAGATCTCACGGATTAGTTTTAATCCAACAAACGGTCTCTCAAAGCTCATTCACCTCCATGACAAACAGAAGCACTTAATGGACTGCGTTTCCCAGCATGCTCTCTGTTAAGATGAGCGCGTCCAAAAAAGGAAAAAACTATAAAAAAACGTAACGTCCGATCGTCTCTAATCTGGAAGTTTAACACACCTCACAGATGACGTTTTAATCCAACAAACGGTCCATGTGTCTCGTTCACCTCGATGACAAACAGACGCAACAATTGGACTGCAATTCCCAGCATGCCTTCTGTTAGATGAGGGCGTCCAAAAAACTAAAAGAACGTGACGTCCGGTCGTCTCGAAAACCTCACAGATGACTTTTAAATCCAACAAACGGTCCCATGTGTCTCGTTCACCTCCTTGACAGACAGACAAACTCACGGACTGCGTTTCCCAGCATGCTCTCTGTTACATGAGCGCGTCGGGGTGCAGCGTGTGCTGGATCTGCTGCGGCTGCATGGGGGGAGGCAGCTGCAGAGGAAGAAGGGCCTCCACCATGTTGTGGCAGTGATGAGGAGGAGGCGTTCCTTCGTTGCTGGAACTTTCCGCCATTTCTCCGCCGTGGAAGAAGTACTCGCTCTGCACGATGAACGCCTCGATGACCGCCTGGTTCAGCTTCGTGGTGGAGAGCGTCTCCTTGTTCTCGAAGTCGGGGCGCATCAGCGTCGGCCAGAAACAGATGGAGAGGTTGTCCGCCGTCATGAGGGTGCACTTATTGTGCTGGCTCACCCTGTGGGGGGGGGAAGGGGAGGAAGTGTTGAGAAAATTAATAATAATAACAATACATGACACTTTTGGCGCATTTCCACTACAGGGGTTTTGGCTCGGCTCGGCTCGGCTCGGCTCGCACTTTTTTGCTTTTCCACTAGGGGTAGTACCGGCTCACTGGTACTTTTTTCCAGTCGAGGTTCCAAGCGAGCTGAAAATATGCGAAACTAGTGACGTAAAACACTGCCGACCGCTGATTGGTCCGAGAGAATCGTCATTGCGCGAGACAGTCCCCAAGCGTCGCATAAGCTACCGTCAGCAAGTATTTTTTAATTTCAACAAAGTATTTTTAATTTAAACAAATCCATAAAGAAATGGCAGCACAAAAAAGCACGCTGTGGTCGTAGGACGAGGTGGTACGTGTTTGCTAACGCCATGTTCTTTGCTTGAAAGCGTTGTGTCCCTATCTATTGCAAAGCTCACTTCTAACACTACTACCCCTCGTTACTAACTGTAATGGAAACGCAGCTTAAAGTGAGCCGAACCCAGCCATGGCGAGCCGCGCTAAAACCTGTAGTCAAAATAGTAATAATAATAATAATACATGACACTTAAACAGGGTATATGCAGGAATCCTGAAGTCAAATGTAAAACCTTTTAAGACCTTTTTTAAGACCCTTTCCATACATTTTAAGACCTCATCGCCACTTTGAGTTTTAACCGGTTACCTTGGCGACACACTTGCCCTCACATTGACTATATACAGTATTGATTGTCCTTCCTCCTTATCTTCCAACCATTTGGACGCAGACTTGCATTTCCCCATAACCATGTTGTTTAACAACCGGCGTAAACGGACCTTCGCGCGCTATCAAGCAGTGAGCGTGCGATGTCCTGTTCAGATGACGTCAAACCCAACGGGATGCCATAAATAAACTACACAGAATCACACTACACACCTACGCAATGATTACATTCAGGCACACTGTAGAATACAACCTCTTTGGACAATTCATATACTTATTGAAAACAAGCTACAAAATGTAATACCTTGGGAAATGCCGTTTAATACTTTTTAATAGCCTTAATTTACGCTAAATTGATTTATCAACTTGTAATACTTTGTAAGACCCCGCGGACACCCTGATATATAGCGCTTTTATAAAAACTCCAAGGCAAGGCACCTTTCAACACAAGACAATTCAAAGTGCTTTACAAAAATGAAAGACATTAAGAGAACAATATTATAATAATACTTTGCTTTTTAATGACTGTTTTGAAATGCCATTTTCTTAATGTCTTTCATTTTTGTGAAGCACTTTGAATTGCCTTGTGTTGAAAGGTGCTGTATAAATAAACTTGCCTTGCCTTTGGGCATTAACCCTTTAAGCCCTGAGCCTGTTTTTCAGGTCTCAGGCTCGAAAATGACATTCCCAGAACAAATGACCATATCTTCCCTTCTTCTAAAAGGGGTAAATTAATAATCTTTATTCTCAAAGTAATGATAAACCTGTGAGTTGGATGTAGAAAAGTCAGAATCAATATAGATTTTTTTCATTTTAAAGAAAATTCAGATTGAACATAGTAAAAAACTGTAAATTATAGTGTCCGTCCAAAAATTATTTTTTACTTATAGTGAAAACTACCCTTGGATGATGGGTTAGTAGACTAAAAGCTTTAGGAATCCAAAGTACAACATATAATAAGTACCCTGTATGACGATTGATGCAAAACAAGTGACATTTGACCATTTTAGAGAGGTTTAGCAAAAAGAAAACACTTCTGGGGTCATTTGGGTGGATTTTCCATATCTCTGGCCCCCCTCGTTCGATTTTGATGGTTGACACCTCTTTCTGACCGTTAGAGCCAATAGAATCGAGGGGAAGTTCCTAAAATCCATCTAAACATTACCGATTGGTGAATGAGTGCTGCGCAGCCAGAATGCCCCGGAACCGGAAGCTGTGATACCCTCTGGTGGCTACCATTAGCAGCTAATTTAAAATCTCCGTTTTTTGACATAAAAATGTTATGATGGATCAGGAATCATTTCAAAGTGACACATTGGATTAACCTTCAGCGGCGTTTTTATCGTTTTACTGTTATTGAGTTATCTATGTACCTAGATGTGTTTATTTTTGTTATGTATGCGACACGCAACATTAGTAAACTCCCCTGAAACTATTTCATATTCAAATCTACTGTATTTTAATGTTAGACATTACAGAAAAATCATTAAAATAAAAGCCTGTATTTTTCTGCCTCTCTTTTAACACCTTTAAATGGGCGCTAATTCAAACTGAAGTCAATGTTTTACACAGGTTAAATAAACACCATTTGTTAACCGTTACGATGAGCTGACTGTTCAGATTAAATCACAGACTGATGCAGTGTGACATTATGATTAGAGTCGCCATTTATTACATCTTCAAAGGATTCCTCTGGTCAGTGACAGCTGTCATTACATCCTGTCTCTGTGCAGCTGGAGGAGGGAAGGAAAGCACTGTGTCAGAGGAGAGGTAGGCCTATGTTAGGGCTGTGCAATTAATCGTATTTTAATCTCGAAATAAAACGATTATTATTTTTATTTAAAAAAAAATATATATATATATTTTTTATTTTTTTATTGGTTTTTCAGTTGAATTATACTTAAAGTTCAGGGTAATCAACTGTTAAAAACATACTGTTCAAATTTCTTTTTCAATAAATGGATGTTTTCAAAGTAAATGGATAATCGTTTTTAATAATCGTGATATCAATTATTGACCAAAATAATCGTGATTATGATTTTTGCCATAATCGCACAGCCCTAGCCTATGTCTAAAGAAATCTCATTTGCAAAAGAACTGTACCAGATATTTCCATACAACTTCTGGTTAGTGTTCAATAGCACCCTAGACAATTCAGTAATGGCATATTTTTTAAGGGTTTTTCTGATAAATGAGAGAAAAGTGATGGAGTCCTTTGTTCCTATCACCAAAAAGTACAATTTCCATCTAAAGGCCCAGACACACCGGACCGATTTCGGCCGTCGATGAGCGTCGTGTCGCCCTACTCAGATTGGTGTGTCCAAAGGCTGTCGGTCAAATAAATCACTCTGATTGGCTGTTCAGCTAGCGTGTCTTGTTCTACCTCGGGTAGGGGTATCTCACAGTCTGAGGGCCCTTAACCGTTGTAACACAGCTCAATGACTCCATGTCAAAAGTGTCTTTTCTTGCGTTTTATATCAAATTCAAAGAGGACAGGTAACGTTTTAGATGCTAGATTCGCTCTCACTAGGTAGTAATTAATGACTGTTTCTTTCTTGGACCTGAAGATGTTCAACTTGTTTGTTTGTTTATTCTTTCTTGAGGCTTTCTTGTTGTTATTTGTAACAGAATCAGGCTTTAATTTGTCGCTTTATAATCAGACGTCTAGATGTTTCAGAGCAAAGTTCAGTTTTCTCAGGAATAATTCAACAGACAGTCGTGACTGCAGTTCATACGACAGCTTCTGCAAACTGTGTGTGTGTGTGTGTGTGTGTGTGTGTGTGTGTGTGTGAGAGTGTGTGAGTGTGTGAGTGTGTGAGTGTGAGTGTGTGTGGGTGTGTGAGTGTGGAGAGTGTGTGTGTGAGTGTGTGAGTGTGTGTGTGTGTGTGTGAGTGTGGTGTGAGTGAGTGTGTGTGGTGGTGAGGTGTGTGTGGTGTGGTGTGCGTGTGCGTGTGTGTGTGTGTGTGTGTGTGTGTGAGTGTGTGCGTGTGTGTGTTGCGTGTGTGTGTGCGAGTGTGTGTGTGCGTGTGTGTGTGTGTGTGTGTGTGCGAGTGTGAGCGTGCGTGTGCGCGTGCGTGTGCGCGTGCGTGTGAGTGAGTGTGAGTGTGAGTGTGTGTGAGTGTGAGTGTGAGTGTGTGTGTGTGTGTGTGTGTGTGTGTGTCAGCTCGATGTACAAACTGCAAACGTCCCGATGTGTTTGACAGCAGCTTTTAGGATGAAGTGAAGAAGCTGCGGTGTGTTCACTGTCATCGCAGGGAAACGTACATTTGAACGTCGAAAGGGTTTAGCTCCCACACACACACTGACTGTAGAGTGTGTGTGTGTGTGTGAGTGTGTGTGTGTGTGTTCTGGCGTCATGTCTTACCTGTTGAGGTGTGTGATGATGAACTTGAACACCTGGTAGTTGACAGAAGGAAACTTCTTCACGATCTCATGAAGAACTTGCAGACGCTCGATGTAGTCCACGATTTCTGACACACACGCGGAGAGAGAAAAGAGAAAACATTTAGCATTTTACACACACACACACACACACACACACACACACACACACACACACACACACACACACACACACACACACACACACACACACACACACACACACACACACACACACACACACACACACACACACACACACACACACACACACACACACACACACACACACACACACACACACACACACACACACACACACACACACACACACACACACACACACACACACACACACACGTTCTGAACAGCAAATATGAACTGCTAGGGGCTGTTCACACCCTTTACCCACAATGCATTGGTTTATCAAAGGGATTATAAATAAATGTATGAATAAATGAATAAATAAGGTGAAGTTTTTAGTAAAATAGGTTAAAAAGATATGTAATAAATCTGGTAAATAACACAATTTACGAAAAGGACATTTTTTATTAAACAAAGGTCTTAAAAAAATCAATTTATGTATGAATATTTATAGTATTAATACAGGGATATGAGTATTAATAATACCTTTAAAGCAAGTTAGTATTTTCTTTTTCGTTTGTATTAAATTAACTTGAATTAATTAATTGAATTTGACGGTTTAAGCAATATAAATACATGTGTGGTAACTTATGTAAGCTTAAAGAGGACATATAATGCTGTTTTTCAGGTCCATATGTGTATTTGTTTGCCTCGACTGTGACTTGTTTCCGTGCTTTAAAGTGTGCAGGAGAGAGAAAGTCAAAGCAATGCAGCAACATAATAAAAAAGGAAGTGAAGGACGGAGAGAAACAGAGATAATGTAACCTGACTTAATGCTAAACTGTGCAGATGTTTGAGTGGTAAACCCTTGAAAACAACAAATAAATAAACATCTGTGTGCGTTTCCTGGAGAGCACGCTGTCTAGGAAACTCCTGGATATTCCTCATCCTCTCCGGAGAATTCCTCTCTTCCCCGCAGGCGAGACGCTCGTCGGAGCAGAAGCTCGTCGGAGCAGAAGCTCGTCGGAGCAGAAGCTCGTCGGAGCAGAAGCTCGTCGGAGCAGAAGCGCTCGACTCAATACTTTAATATTTAAAGAGCAGACGTGAAACAAGAGCTTTCACCTGAGGAGAGTCACAACACATCTCCTCTGCTGAGAGTGGAATATCATTCACACATCAGAGCAAGACGTCACCGCCAAGCCGCCAGGAAGAATATTCATAGTGTCCAAACGGCGGTACTACAACTTCCAATG